CATGTGAACGAAGAGTAGCATAAATAATTAGTATGGGTAACAACATGGTCAAAAATATTCTAATTAATTATGTTTTGGGTTTAAGTGTTTCTGTATTTGATGGGGAAAGCGGACAATATTTGAAGTATTTATTTGAAAGCGGTGAAAAAAAACAACAAAGTTTTGAGTTTTTAATATGCTAACAACAATAAAAAAAGGAAAAAGTCAGTGAACATACAATAGTCAAACATTTATGAATGAAGTAACCAATAATTTTAATTTTGGCCTATGTACAACAGCAGGGCTGACCAGCACGAGGTTTCCGTGACATATCTATAAATAGAACAGGTGTAAAGTTTCATTGGTCGGTTGTAAAATTGCATTGAGACAGTCTATTCATAAATGTGTAATTGTAAGGACAATGAGAAAAAAAGCAAAAAAAAAACCAAAAAAAAACAAAAAACAAACACATAAAGATGGGGATAATTAGCATTAACATCCAGGTATGTAAAATAAATCAGTTCATGTAATTGTTATTAATCGTTAATTTTTTTCATGATATATTTAACATATAAGCTAAGGTTTGTTAGGGTCTGGCTATCATTTGTGTTAAGTAGTTCCTTAAATTTCAGTATATTTGGTCTAATATAGAATCTCTCTGGTATTAGCTGTCTTCTTTTAGTTCTGAAAAAAGGGCATATTAACAGATAATGCATCTCATCGCCAATGTCCCCCGAGTTACATTTTTGGCACTTTCTTTGCTCATGAGGTTTAAAAGATTGATTCCAACGACCCGTTTCTACTGGAAAACGATGGTTAGCAGTTCGGAAATGCAAAAGAGATAACCTAAGGGGGTGGGGGAGAATATTTAAATAATATTCTAGATTAAAACTGTTTTTAAAACTACCATGGAGTCTACCTTTATGCGAGTTTTCTAGTTGTGAGAACCATTCTTGTTTATATTGGTCGATTAATGTTTGTTTAACCAATTTGTTAATACATTTAGCTTGGATATTATTTTGATTTAACCATAAAATAGAGTTACCTGTAGAGTCAAGTATACTTTTAACATAGTTGATCCATTTAAAGTTTTGGTTAGACTGTATCATATACTTGTAACACCTATATGAAATCTTTGATTCCTTAGACTGAATAAGTTTATTCCAAAAATGTATCATACGAGATTTGATGTTTATTTCGATAGGATAGCGCCCAAGTTCAGCATATAACATATATCTAGGAGTACTTTTTCTGGTATTAGTAATCTTGCGTAAAAAATTGGAATGGACTTGTTCTATGATATTTAAATGTTCGAACCCCCATATTTCACTTCCATATGTAAGATTGGGAAGCACTGTATGGTCGAATAACTTTATTTGTAGGTCTAGGGGAAGGTCAAGGTTGTTTATTCTCTTATATAGAACATTCATGGCTTTGTTTGCTTGTGAAACTAGGTGTTTCCTACACGCAAGAAATGAACCAGAGCTAGAGAAAATAACACCTAGATACTTATATTCCGTTACTGTTTCGATTGATTGACCATTTATATTGAAAATATATGACTTCGGTTTATTTGTGCCAAAGACAACTGCCTTAGTTTTCTGAAAGTTTATATTTAATTTCCAAGTCTCGCAATATTTGTGAAAATCATTGAGACAGGACTGGAATGATTCCTGAGTTTCGCCTATTACGACCGTGTCGTCTGCATATAGTAAAATTAATATTTTTAAAAACTGGGTTGTAGCGTCAATTGTGACTCCATTATTGTCCTTATTAAGGGCTAACTCTAGGTCATTTAGGTAGATTGAGAAGAGCACCGGCGATAAATTCTCGCCTTGTCTTAGACCTATAGAACTTGAGAAAAAAGCAGATGTTTGACCTTCGGAGTTTATACAAGATTTAATATTCGAGTACATATTTTGGATGACAGAAAGAATTTTTCCTGTAATGCCAATATCAGAGAGTTTCCTCCATAGACCTGCGCGCCAAACTGAATCAAACGCTGCAGAGAATTCAATAAATGAACAAAATATTTTTTTCTTTTCTGCGCGTAGCTTAGAGATAAGAAAGTGAAGTGCAAAAATATGATCACTGGTCGAATATTTAGCTCTAAATCCAGCTTGATTCTCGTTCAAAAGGTCGTTTTCGGCCAGAAATTCATTTATTCTTTCATTTAAAACCGAGGTAAACAATTTTCCGAGGCAACTCAAAATAGTTATTGGTCTATAGTTACCTGGGTCGGAGGGGGGTCCTTTGTTTTTATAAATTGGCTTAATAGCTCCTACTAACCACGAGTCAGGCATGACTCCAGAGTCTAAAATCATATTAAAAAACTGACGATAAAATGGAACCATTATTGATTTTGTGTATTTAATATATTCATTTGATATACTATCAAATTGTGACTGAGCCTTGCCATTTTTTAATTTTGAAATAACTTTGCAAATTTCTTCTTCCGAGATTTCTCTATTAAGTGCATTATTATTTAAAGGGTCGGGGATTTCAGAGTTGCCTGATAAAGTTTCGTTTTCATCTTTTTGGGAGTTTATGTCTTTAAAGAAATTGAAAAATTCGGAAATATCAGGGGGCGTTTCAGTTTTCTTTCGTGAGAACTGGTTTAGATAACGCCAGTAATCTTTCGGTTGATTGGAGCTAAGCGCACGCAATTTACGTTCATTATTATACCTGTGTTTACATATAAAGGTATTCATGGTTTGTTTATAGTATTTACTAGCAGTTTGTAACCTAGATTTATTCATGCTATTTTTGTTTACCTGGTAGGATTTACGAGCCTTATGGTATAAATTTCAATATCACTACCTTCAATATTTCCTCATACCTCCGAATAGTAATTAAGAATTGATGCTACTAATGAATCAAATAATTTACATTTTTCACTAGTTTTGAATTCATATTGATGAAGAATAGCAAACAGTCTATAAAGTGCTTTTGATGCATGTTCTGCTATGCTTTTTTGTGTTCGTGACCAATTTCCATTTTTAAAAAGGTATATTCCCAAATATTTAAAAGACGTTACTATTTCAAGTTTTTTGCTATAAAGATGAAAATCAAAATGTGTAGGTCTGCCTCTTTCGAAAATCATAACTTTGGTTTTATCTATGTTTATTTTAAGTCCAAAGGTATTACAGTATATTTCGATGTCCTTAAGCATGCTTTGTAAGGTGTCGGGATTTGTAGCAAATAATACTTGGTCATCAGCATATAAAATCAAAAAATAGACTAAGCTCATTTAAGGTGAAAATTCCATCAAGGTCTGCATTTATATTACTCATTAGATCATTTACGAACATCATGAACAATAGAGAAGAACTGGGGTCTCCCTGCTTAACGCCTTGATGAGAGTTTATAACATCATTATGTACTACCCCATTATATTTAATAGATGCTCGTACTACAGTGTACATTGCTTTTATAGCTTTTACCATTTTAGTACTCACATTTTCTGTTATAAGTTTTTGCCAAAGAAAAGATTGATTAATTTTGTCGAAACATTTTTCACAATCAATAAATATGGAGTACAGTTTTTTACCCGTTTTTTGAAATAATTGAGTGTAAAAGGAATATACAATCAACTGTGCTCTTACCCTTTTGGAAGCCAAATTGACTATTTACAAGTTTTTCGTGTTTTTCAGTCCATATTGTTAGCCGATTAAGTAGAACCTGAGAATAAATCTTAGATAAAATATTGTTAAGTGATATACTATATACTATACTATATAAAATGTGCCTGATTATATGTTGAAAGGGCCATTTATTTAGCTTATCTAAATGTGACATGTTAGAGACTTGACAAGGTGTAGACATCTTTTAGAGCGACAGGGCGGTGATTTAGAGAAATGTCTTGTTTTTGGTTGAAAAAATAATGTTGATCATTAAAAAGGTTAATGTTTAATAATACACATTAACAAAAATAATTGGTCGCCTGCCTGCGGCAGGCTTGACCAATAAGATTTGTTAATATGTATTATTAAACACTAACCTATACATAGTATCACACATCGACGCATACAAATTGATTAATCTCATGTATGTATTAACAGTTATGTATTTTGATACTTTGAATATGTTTAATTTATATTGTTGTCACTTATTGAGGGCCTCATGGAAGATTAACATGTCGTTCAAATGAGTTCTTTCAAATGAGTTCGTAAAAATAGTCTTCATTATTATTACTACTACTGCTACTGCTACTGCTACTGCTACTGCTACTGCTGCTACTACTACTACTACTACTACTACTACTACTACTACTACTACTACTACTACTACCACTACCACTACCACTACCACTACTATCATTATTATTATTACTGTAAGGACTGAGTAGAGAAGCTTTTATCATGACTACATATGGCATCTATAAAGGAAATAGTTCCGCGAATGAAAATAAAAATTAATTATAAGCTGTGTACATGTTATTTATAAATAATTCTGCAATAACTATAAAATCGCCTTCCTTTAGAGCCTTGATTAGTTTGAGACATTAGTGACCTTTTAATACTTGTAACATTACATTACAGTTATGCTTTCTAAACAGCTTTAACTAAAATAATATGCCATACGTGTATATAGGTTGTAATTCGACTTGTGAGGATATGTCAGTTTCCAGAATATGCTTTATAATATGCGAAGTATAATTTTAGATGCCTCACTCAAGATACTTCGGTGCTAAAACTGTCCAACCACAGCCATGGTGGGAATGGCTTTTATTGAACTCACCCACGCACTTTAAACGATTTATAGGGATTTATGTCATAGGTAATGAGTATCAAACCAATACTGTTGTAATACAAGGCAGTGTTTCAAACTGCTTTACACGTATATTGTATACTCAAATATCTGGAAAAAAGTATTCCATCGGAAGCATTAAAACAGCAAAATTAAATGTACATGAAAATTGCAAACTCGGTTAGATTGAGTATGTACATGGGTACATGAGGGATAATGAAAAGTGCAACCTAGCAAGTCCATTCTGGAGAATAAAACACTTTTACGACCTGTATTTTTCTTTAAAAATCTTTAATTGTTACTAAAACAAATATACATTTTGATCAGTAAATGTTTTCAGTATTTGTAAATGTCATTAAAAACATTATCTCTCTGTAATCAGAAGAGTTGTAAGTTTTTACATCAATTTACAAACAATGTAATAAAACCGCAAAATATTGATATTCAAAACAATGACAACAGTTCACTAAAACTAGTTAGTTTATATATCATAATAAGCCGAGTAGTCACATCAAATACGATATGATGGTCTACTGGCTGACAGCATATTTGTCACTAACATCGTTATTACAGTGACAAATAAAATGTTTGTCACAACGTTGTGGACGCTTTGAGCAGAATTCTTTGGTGCTGCTGTAGTTGCTGAAATATGTGTGCCGGGTGCTGTACTATGTATGCCAGATGCTGAAATAATATACAATAGATTAATAATCTGAAAACAGCCTGATAGTTCGCCTGAAACAATATGCAATATAACAGTTAAGTAAAGTACGTGCTAATTGTAAACAATATTTTTAAAATGATTAGGAAATGCAAAATTACATTACGAGGCAACATTCACACACCTGTTTTATACTTTGCTCAAATTTAATTTTAGAAAATATTGATAATTGCTACACAGTCTCTTTGTAAAATAAAATAAACATGTTTTGACTTCACTCAAAGCAGACAATCTACACATTATAAGTGGTCACAATATATAGGGTTATAAAAAGTGGCATTTATTTTAAGAAAAAAAAAACAAACAAACATAACTTTTATTGAGAACCCAGTTTATTCATTTTTTTATTCAAAGTAGACATATTCGGTAAGATTATGATTGATTTCAATTAATTTCTGTGACAAAAACAATTTACTCAAGGATGAGCATTGTATATCTTAAACCATTTGTGAGCAGAATAACTGTTGCGGATAAAACAACTGGTTATTTTTTACATAAGTTGTAAATAATAAGTTAATAATAAGTTGGTAAAGATGCAACATGTATCATCTGTTATGTCTATTTAAAATTGTCGAAAGGAAGAACATTTCTCGTGAATTCTATCTAAAACCGACATTATTCTGGTAACAATGTAATATTTCTGTTCGTTCTTTAAATGTTCAAAATCTTAAATGATCCCATTGCCATGATATGCGTTTACCAAAAATAAATCATTAAACATGTAAAATTAAAAAAAGGAAACAGCCGGGCAAAAAATAATCGTGAACAATGACTATTTAGAACTGAAGGAAAATTTTCTAAAATAATAAATTCAACGCCGCACCTTTCGCTGCGACAGTAGTTACGTTAGGTGAGCTTGCTGTGGCTGCTGTATCTACGTCCTGGGGTAGTAAATATACCACCAACAGACACAAGGTCACTGAAAAAAATCATCATTAAAACATTCTTTTAGCGATTCTCAAATAACTTGTGTTTGCGTTCATATGATTACAGAATAAAATTTTAATAACTTTATCCTAATTAACTACCAACCTTTATATGCTGAACAAGTGTAGACAGGCCTACCGAATGATACATAATACAACGATAAATTAATTTGTAGAGATACTGAATACGAAAGTCAAAATCAAGTGATAATATATTAATGAATAAAACATATAATATCCTGAAAAATGATTTTGATAATGGAAATATATATGATGGTTTTGATTTGGTCAGACGTCTCAACAAAATAATATAGGTATTATCAATATCTGCCTATAACAAAATGCAGGAATCGTATTCCTGCACGCGAATAAACATATAATGATAAATACCATTCAAAATATCAATTACTAGATTTCGACTAAGTATCATGATTATATGACTGAAAAAGAACGACACCTAAATATCTAAAGTAAATAATGTTCTCAATGATATATAAATGTAATATAAATAGATTATCATTTTATCCTGGTGTGTCCAAACTATTAACTTTACAAAAAAAATATATTTCAATCCTAAATTTTGTCAAATGCCTACAGAATAAAATTTTATCACATTAATGTCACACTCATATACTATGCTTATTTTCAATAAATTTCAAACTGAAATATCGATAAGAATCGATATCAAATAGTGGCATTTGTAAGTATAGTAATGTTCTCTTTTTTATAGAAAATGTCAGAGATGTTTTTTGTTTTCACGAAATACTTGTATATAATTCTTTGTTAATTATGTACAATGTACTTGTCTTTGTCAAACTACAATTTTTTAACATCGCTTTTCATTGGATAATCATGAAGTTTATAAAATCTATATACACGGCTGCTGTCAATTTTGATCAAGTAAAATAATATTGTAATTATGTCACAAACAATAAAATATAGTATAAGTTGATTTTTTTTATTTATTTAAGCAAATGACAATGTTTATCTTTATTTTAACATCCCTTTACAAAAAAGAAGACACACAGAGAAATGTATGTTTAGACTTTAGCATGGCAAAAATAATATTGAACAACGTTTCTATTCATTCAAATCGTCTTTTTAAAGTTGATCATTTTTAAAAATAAAGGTTCGTATTTTAAGTTACTTACCTGTGGCTGCTTTAAAAGCCATGTTGTTTAGCAAGCAATTTACGTAAATGAGCAGCACTCCCTCAAAATGAATGACTATATATATGAGTGACATGTTACTGCCCACTGTGAGACTGCCCTTGATTATTTTAATAAAAGCAATATTTTTATCATCTTGTCAATCCTGTCATCAAGTGTTTGTTTTTAAATGCGTCATGATGATTATCACGAAATAAGCGCCAAAATACTGTCAGAACCGAACCAAGGTATCTTTTGAAACGTTTCTTTTGTTAGATTGATGAGTAAAAAAAACGAGGTTGTAATTAAAAATAATAATTTCGCGCAGTGGGATTTAAGCTTTTTTCCCCCATTAATCAAGATACAAACAAATATTCTGCCGATAACACTCAGTCAAGTATAGATGAATACCCCTTAAAACGACAGGAAAAAAATATGCAGCTGTGAAGCAACATGTTCCTTTTTGGAGTTATTTCAAATGATTGATCAAACCTCTATCTTGGCACATTATTTTAAGATTTTTTTTACACAGTGGCACTTATATTGACACTTTTTTCCATTAATCAATATAGCGTATTTTTCTTTTAGATGACTGAAACAAACAAAACAAAAAAATGAAGAAAAAAATATCTGTGAAGGAACATGTCCCTCTTTGAAGTTATTTTGAATGATCAAGCTTTGGCACAAAATTTCAAGTACATGTACTTTTACATAATGAACAACAAAGATTGCCCGAGCAGTTTCAGATATCATTTATTTTACATTTTAATCTTGAATGCTTTTATAGTGAATGTTTATAGTGTCCTAAAACCTCGGTGGAGTCCCTTTAAACATTTTACTCCATTTCAAATTTAATTTTTCATTTGTTGACGACAGGTAACAAGGTACTTGTTACAAAATAAAATGCCAAGTTACAAGATGGTAGCTCCTCATATAGTATTTGAAGTCAGCTTAACTGATATTTCAAATGATAAAGTAGAAAATCTCAGCATGAGCACATATCATCAGACGTCAATAGTGTCTTTCTTAAAATAGCATTGTCACCAAACGTCAACGACTTAATGATAGTTTTGTTGATTAAAAAAAAACAGTTACAAAGAAAATGCAACAATCAGTTATGTACTTCCTTAAGAAACGTTACGTGGTTAATTTCAAGTGTTTACTTTTTTAATTGTAATGATCATTTACAGAAAACTGTGCTGTCACATTGATTCACCAATTTATATTATACAATTTATTATATTATAATACAATTCACCGAATTCACTTCAATTCCACTTACTAGATTTTACATAGATTCACTTCGATGATAATGAGTTGTAAGATACAGCATCGACTGCTGCTACCATCTCCTTCCTCAGGTGGGTGCTATATTCATTGTGCGTTTCGGCGCTTCCCACTACGCCCTCCTATTGTGCGCCGACCAGAGTGATGTCAAGCTCTAGCCAGGACATGGTAGGCTTCAGCTATCCCTGCTTCATCTGTCTTGAAGCGGGTACTGCCTAACTATTGGTCTTTCGACCCTCCATCCATGACTCTTCTTTCTTGCGCCAGATTTACAATGAGGCTGACTCTGCTTCATATGCTATGTTAGATATGGCTTTGTTGCGCGCTTGTCCTGTCACACCAAGGCAACCAAATGCTCGCCATAGTGATCGCGCTGGGAAGCCCCTTTCATCCAACTTCCACTGGAAAGCACCAAGACCTCCAACCTCTTTCCTTACAGGTATCCACAAGAGGCTAGTAATTTTCCAGTTTCCTCTCAAAACTCTCTTCGATTCTTTCTTCCCATGGCACTGTGAGTTCAAGTAGAACAACTTGTTTGCTCGCTGATGACCATAAAACAATATCCGGTCTTAGTTTTGTCACAGTTATCTCTTCCGGGAATTTCAGTTTCTTCTTCAGGTCAACCTCCATCTGCCAGTCCTTAACTGTACTAAGAATCCCCTTTCTAGGATTTCCTGCTTGTCCAGTTTAACCTTCTCTCACAAAAGGAATGAATAGAACACCTTTTGCCTTATTCTTCTGGAAACGTCTTGCATGGACCAATGGCTCTGCTATTGATGCCAGGACTCTGTCATGACCAATCTTTCAAGAAGGTTTTGCACGAACTGAGGATATGCTCCAGATTTGCTGGTTTTCCGCAGTGTTTACACTCTGGGTTGTCAGAAAGGCCCCATGTTTTTAGGTTTACAGGACTGGGAAGTACATCGTAGACAGACCTTCTTTCATTTTGACCTGCCTTGCTCCACTGAGACCGAGTGACACACCCTAGTCCCAGCCTTCCCCAACAATGTCACTGTGGCGGACCCGTGACTCTGCATCTTTTTCTGCCTTCCGTTTCCTTCCAGTAAGTATCTTTACTCCTGCCTTTCTTACTTTCTCATCCGCACTGTCTCGGAGCATGATGACCTGGCGTGTCTTTGTAACCTTATATTCTTCTGTTAAGGCTTTGAGTGGCAATTGTAGCTTACTTTTTGTGAAGTATAAGCCAAGGCTGGTGAAACTTTTTGGCACTCCAAACCATGTTCTTAGAAAGCCATTAATGGTTCTTTCCATAGCTTCTACTGCGGACGATGGCACACTATAAATCAAAAGTGGCCAAAGTAGTCTTGGAAGGATGTCATGTTGATAGATCCAGGCTTTAAATTTCCCTGGGAGTCCACATTTTTCCACTTGTTTCAACCAGCCCTTTAATTGTGACTCTGTATCGGCTTTACTCTCCTTGTCACCCCTGTACCACTTGCCCAAACACTTCACAGGTTTTTCCTTAACAGTGGGTATGTGCTGATCATATACTCGATATCTGGCGCTGTCCTGTATCACTCCCTTCCTTAAGTTCATGCTCCTAGACTTGGCTGGCTTAAACCTCATCCTTGCCCATGTAATGATTTCACCTATATCCTGCCATCGACCTTCTACATACGACTTGGCTGTGATAGTCATGTCGTCCCTGAATGCTCTTGTCGGAGGTTGAATAGATCCTGATGCCATTTTCGGTCCCCTGGAAGTTTTTTCGGCTGACTTCATAATGAGGTTCATGGCTGTAGCAAACAAAACCACTGATATGTACATCCAGTCACTATTCCTACCTCTAGCCTTCTGCCAGTCGGTAGTGAACGATTCTGTTAAGAAGCGCAAGATAAAATAGAGAAATACAGAATCCCTAAAGAAAGCCCAACACGACAAAATTGAAAATGTTGCAGGCTCGGTTTGATTGAGCCTGTTCATTGACGGTACTGGAAAGTGCAAGTTACCGTCCACGCCCCCTAGCACCGGCTTAAGCAGAATTCAACATTTAAACACTAAATTGTGAAAGTTGTCAAAGTAGTGTTACAGCATAAGGCGAAATCTCTCTGGTACATGATATAACTGTAATGTCTTTTGTATCAACTGATGTGGAACAGAGCCATATGCATTGGCTAGATCTAACCATATCACTTCGTGGGCTTCCTTTATTATCTGTGATATCACAATTGTATGCTCAACACATCCTGAAACACCTGGTACACCTCCCTTCTATCAGGATTTTACCCTCTATGTTGAGGAGTGAAAATGTCCTGAATTGACTGAGAGTTGTTGCCTCCTCTTCTTTAGGTGTAAAGCAACCCTCAGCCTTGAGCCACTCCCTGCACAGCTCTCCCTCCCTCCAAATGACCTTCATCAACCGCCAAAGCCGCAGCAAAATCTTGGGACAGTTTTTGTTAACCTTGTAAGGAACTCCTTTGGTCCAGGTGCTGAAGATGCTCTGGCCTTCCTTACTATATCTCTGATCTCCTGCAGTCTTGGCTCTGCACTGTCAAATTAAAACTCTGGAAGATCTGTTTCCAGCAATTTCTCACAACTGCCCAGTTCCTCATGACTAATGGTATCACTATACATCTTCTTGATGTGTTTGTTGGCCTCTTCCTTTGTGCACTGAAGCTTGTCAGATTTCTTCTCGCCTAGCAGGCGCCTTACAAACTGAAAAGGGTCCTTGGTGAACTTGGCTCTTTTCTTTTGCCTTTCATGTCTTACCTTGCGCAGATTCTCAGCTCTTCTAAGGCTTTTTAGTTCCTTCCTCATACTTTCCCTAAGGACTTTCAGTGCTTCTTTCTCCTCCTTTGGTGCTTTCTTAAAAGTTGGTGTCAGTCGTCTGAGATCTCCCCTTATCTTGGCAATCTTCTGAACCCTCCTGTTTTCCTTGACAGGCTTTTTCTTCTTTCCCTCTATTATTCCAAATCTCTCCTTGCCAAAGTTGTAGATAATCTCAGACATAACATGCAACTTGTTATCTACTTTCCCCACCAAAACATGCTCCATCATCTGGTCCGACTCGTCTTCAAGCCTCTTCCATGATGTTTTCTCTGTGCTTGCTGGCCATTTCACTCTCTGTCTTCTCTGTTCTGTTGATTCAGTCGCATTCTTTCGAGTGTCTTTCTCAGAACTGTCGATGTGCCCCTCTTCCTCATCTGATGCTTGGAGGCTCTGGACACTGTGGTGTTCTTCCCGATCCAGTTCCTCCTCCGTCTCACCAAGTTGCCTTGCGCGTTGCAACAGATTCGTAATCGGCGCACATCCCATTTTTGTACGATGAATCTTCAGTCCCCGCTTGTTCTTACATACTTTCCCGCAACTACACGTTCTTAGCCGGTTCGTATCCAATCTCATAGTCCGTTGTTCAGTCATGTTCGATTCCGTTTGGCTTGTTGGTCGATCATCCCCCCGCTCTCGCACGACCATGGGGGTGTTTTTCTATATATCTGTCGATAGCTTGAAACTTGGCCCCCTTACGGGGAATGCAACCTGACCTGCCAAGACAGGTTACCCCTATGCTAGTCTCTCCTAACTGCCACTTGTCTCTCCAGGTTGTCACTGAACTATTCTCAGTTGTCAGCTGGACTTTCCCAACAGTCACCGGTAAACCAGAATTTAAGTTGTAAGATACAGCATCGACTGCTGCTACCATCTCCTTCCTCAGGTGGGTGCCATATTCATTGGGCATTTCGGCGCTTCCCATTACGCCCTCCTATGGTGCGCCGACTAGAGTGATATCAAGCTCTAGTCAGGAGATGGTAGGCTTCAGCTATCCCTGCTTCATCTGTTTTGAAAATGAATCAGTTGAAAATATGAAAGAACTTAATTTATTTGAAAAGAAACTATGGTGGACCATACGTATTTAATTACCGCTCTTATCTTAACAAAAGTCTAGATTTTTTTCTGCAAATGACATTCGCAAAATTAATTTAGTGTGATAATATTCCGCATACAGCCAAAACCTCCGTTAATATTTTAAAACATGGGCGTCTTCTACTTAAGTGTAGGTTACTTTTTACATAGTTTTATCTGTCAGAGAATGTTGAGAATCATTCAGCTGAGTGCATACTTTATTGGCCAGGAGTTATGATTTATTGTTTTATTCTGTTTTATGTGTAGTTTATACATTCTACTATTTTATAATTTCAAACATACACCGGTGATCTCTTCAAAGTCCATGTAGCGCGTTCGTTGGCCATTACTATTTGTATATGTATTTTTATTTATTAATATTTCTGTTAAATGAAATGCGTATTTTAAGAGACAATTTATGCAAGTCATAAATCCAGGATAAAATAATTGATATCTACGTTTAAGTTTAAAGATAAAGGCACGGATTTTAATTAATTTAAGTAAACACTTGTGCGTGACTTATCCTTCATAATTTGTCTCATCATTCTGATAAAATCCTTAAAGTTTCGATTTTAGATTTATCTTAAAATAATGCCCAAGGTGCGATGGCTCACTTAGTATTCTTATATAATTATACTTTCATATCAAGAAACACGCAGGACAGCTTAGGATGAAAACACTCCCCATTAAGCACGTACTCGACAGGCAATAGTAATGCTTATAAGCCAAGTATTTTCCAAAGACTTGAACAGATGCACATTTATATATGGATGTTATTGACATTAAAGCCACAGTGTCTATGTGGTAGTTTTGAAAAACCAACATTGATTTGTGATGTTCTGAATTATAACTATATATACAGATTAAATACAGACACTCATATATACAGTGTACTCTGTTATGGTGTTTTGAAGGCATTTAGTTAGACAATAAATGCTTTTCATGCAGCATTAAGTACATACAAGAGAAATATAATTATTAATACAAATGGTCGTGAATCACTTTTTTAACCATTTCATTGTCGTCTGTATACCTATCCATTCTAAATCTAGAGTTTTATGATCTTCAAGCTACATAAAGTCGTATGTATGTTTTACATGTTGAATCTTGTTCAAATGTTTTCTTCAATATCTAAATGTAATGAAATGTACCTTTAGATTAAATACTTTGAAGTTATTTCCACTGATACAATCATATTTTGTAGTAATATTACGGCCTGTATATTAAATGTAAATTGTATGCGAAGTATTGGTTGCTATGTTAAGGTCCATATATCTTCGGAACAATCAAAGTAAAACTTAACTGTATATGAAAACTGGAGTGACACGTAATTGTAATCAATCGAGATACACGCAAATATCTTAATCATTTACGTGAGATGAAGGAAAACGTTATACCGGTAGTATGAATAAAAATAATAATGAGGCACAAGAATATGAACATCTAGTGAAATTCTTATTCGTGATTTAGTTTCACACGTAGCTGTAGATTTTTTTTGTTTCAACACTTCTTTTTCCATCCAATAAAGTATTAACTTGTTAGGAAGTATTTATTAGTTAGGACAGGATCACCAGTCATTTCGAAATAAATGACATTTCGAAACGTTATTTTGGTTATCTTATAAGAGTTAAATTCAAGAACAGGGGTTTTCCATATACGTAATTTACATTATATCTATGACCACCCTATTTACGTCATAAAGATCCTGATAACACGGTTACTAAGATACTAAACCTTCCAAATTAATTCTAAAATCAACGTTGTCTGTAGATATAAGTAGAGTGTGATGCACCTATAATAATTATTATTTAGCTCACACGTATATTTTGATAAAATCAAATCGTTGGATAGTCATCCATAACAATTGGCTCAAATTGTTCCTGTCTGCTGAACAAGATGGCCATCAGAGCTAAAAAAAAAAAAAAAAAAAAAAAAAAAAAAAAAAAAAAAAAAAGGAAAAAGTGTTATATGACCCTTTGTCCACAATCGTCTGATATATATTGATAAAACAGTATGGGCAGTCCTAGTCCCTAAAATTGTACCTATTTGCTGAATAAAATTCAAGTTACCAAACGAATATAATTATGTGTCGGGCTATGTTGGCTTTGTAGTTTCCCGGGCATTACCATTGTGGCTCCTCTCATTCCATAATCCGGACTGACTTTTTGACATTTTACACACGCTTTGCACATATAATAGAAAACAATATAAAAAATGTTAACTTTATTGTAGGAATTTAAAACTGAATTACAACCCCGCCAACTTCGTTATTTTAAAGAAACATAAATAAATCACAAAATGCCTTCATTGACTGTTATTTGTCAAGTAAACAATTTTCAATACTTCTAGCTACCTAAGTCGTGGTCTTTCGGTTTCATTGCAATTTTCATGTTTTTTTTATCGTGAGCAATTCTTCCAAATGACAACCCTTTCTCAAGATTTTAACACACCTTTCTTTTATACTTACTTTTTTTAACTTCTGATGAAATCGAAAACAAAATCAAATTGTAAATATAAAAGCTTATAGACTAAGAAAAATGTACGTAGAAATGAAGGAAATGAATCTAAGGAATATATCACATACATGTAATTCGCGACAATGGCGTCCTTAATTAAACATGTACCGATAATTACATATGTTATAAAAACAACTAATTAAGCCTTCCTTATTTCGAAACAAAAGAAAATATTTGATCATGAATTAAAATAAGATTTTTAACTCTTTACAAATACATAATTATTTTCTTTCAATGTATATGTAAGTACATTGTATTAGAAACCATGCGTGTAACCTACTATTTTGTTTTCTTGTGACTTACTACCCAGAAATTGCTCGTTTTACTTACTATACATCAGCAAAGAACCTTTTTACTCTTCATATCCTCTAGCAAAAATTTATATGGCCTTCTACGATAAAAGATGTCAATATTATCCTTGATTTTATGTTATTAATGAAGGAAGAAAGCTTATTTTCATTAATTTTGGTACAAAATTACACGGTCTCGTGTGAATCACTAAAGCTGCATTTGCAATTTTCAAACAATTCAAACTATGTTCTCGAAAACTATAAAACGTAGGACAATGCCCTTGGTATTGATATTTGAAGAAATTTACCGTGTATTTGATAGGCCAGGTCTAGTTAAGATTTAGAAAACATTTCTCATCTAAATTTATAACAAGAAGTATCTTTAAAAAGATACTCGGCCGAAGTCAAACTTGTTAACTTGCATAGGATAAGCTACTACTAACCATGCTAACCGCAAACAGAACATTTTATTCGTCCTCAATAGTTTTATTTCAGTTCATTTTTACCCGCAATGTTTTTCCCCATTAATTGTCATCTTAGATTTAAACAATATTACTTACATTATTTGATTTTAATCAAAATGGAATTTGATTTGAATAGGAATTTATAATAAAACAAAGATTTAGTAGATACTGTACACTAATTCCACGGAGAATTTTGCAACTGTAAATTAGTCGAAAGTTCGTTTCAATCGTCTTATGCCCGGTTCGAGAAGAGAATATAATGACTAGAACAGCTTAGAAGAGAAACCCAATCGAACGCAAAAGTATCAAAAAGGCGATCTGTCATATTTAATTTCATATATTTATCGAAAAGCTTTTAGAAAAATCTAGAAAATATCATTATTGTGTTTTTATATTTATTCTGATTTATATCTTTTTTCCAACACTTCTTGCCATCGCGCAATCGAACAGACCTCTACCTATAACGACAGCTCTTCTGAAGTATCAATCGAACAGGCTCACTATAGTGTATTAGTGTTAAAATGACCAATGAAAATTCTGCCTATATTCCTTTCTTTACTGTTAATTTTAGCGGTTGATGTGAAATCAGACGGCCTTCGGCCAAAAAATAGTGAATTTACCATGGCTCAAAAGTCGGCATTTATCGTTTGTATACAAAGTCACGTGATTCCTCGTGACAGTGTGATTTTATGTTCATGTCTTTCCCTTATATGTCGTTTTCTCCATTTCTTCAATATAATTGTCTTTTCTGTTCATTTTGGTCAATAACTCGTTTTAAATAGAAAAAGTGCGCTTAAGAATGAAATAAAAATGAGAAAATTAAAACAGGAAACAATTTTGAATGTTTTTATCTATTTCGTAACCGACATGACGTGATCGTACATGGTGAAAATGTTTGGCATGGCTCTCGTTGCTATGCCTGATTTTACCACCCACATGTACATTAATCTTCTCATAATGCAAACTTCTATATTCCTCTAATACCAAGAGTGCAATAGTTATGATAAATAGTTTCAACAACTTCAAAAATTTAGATATATAATTATGGCGGATAAGCTAACAGAAAAAAGATCAATATTTGATTTGTTCAAGTAAGATATGGTACCATTTAATCCTAGCAATAATCTGTACATGCTCTAATATGACCATATTTTGAAATTGATGAAATATCAAGTTTTAATGGTGACACCTTTAAATTTTGAATTGAAGGGCTTATTGTTCTTCAAGATAGCAGACATTTAGTTGTTTGTACAAATATGCAGAGATCATTCAAAATAACAACTGAAGCACAGAAAGTGTCTTTGAAATCCCAGCGAATTCAAATCACATGAATGCTTTGTTTTGTGAATTTTATTCAAAGAGAAAAAATACTCAAGAGACTATGTGTTATTGATTAAACAAGTTTTGTTTCTCGAGTGACTCTACGAAATGAATTTAATTAGATTTTTTGTTAATCTTTTTTTGTCCTTTTTACATAAAATTCGTTCTAATCTCTATTTTACTAAAGAAAAGAAACTCTTTCTCTAACATTTCCTTTTTGACAATATTTTTGTAGAAGTATATAAATATTTCACAGTTTAGAAAAGGAGAAAGGGAAATAAGTGGTTCTAGAAAATTATAACCATATCCGTTATCTAAATCACCGTTTCATGAATGAAAAGTTACTATGCTATTTGATCCTCTCTCTGACGGCGAGTCAATATAGCTTGTAGCATAAACAGAATATTACCAAAATCACGATTTCCGCGCAAATAATTTCTGCTATTTTCTGTTTAGATTTGTATTGTTATATCAAATTTTCTTATCATTGTTTTGTAGACTCGATCATTGAATACAATGTACGTATATTCTAATTAAGTCAAAGGGATCTGTATTAGAATGAGCAATGTCTGGTTTCAAACAAAACATTTTAGTCAGCAAAAATGAACCTATAACTGATCGATATGTTGTCATTCACATACACGAAATTGGGAACATAATGTCGTATATAGCAGTAGAGTAAAAGTGATGATAAAAGTCTCCTATTAGTCACTGTTTTACAGCTAGCAGTTTCGGCGTACCAATATTGGACTTGAGATGCTACACAATGAGCGAGGTACTGTGCATTTATAAATATTTCATCGCATATAACGATTTCAATGGAACTACTTATAAATGTGAAATAAACGATGATTTGAAAAGTGTTAAAAGTGTTTCAAGCCTGTTAAGAACATTTATATTTTGATGTTTTCGCATATGTACAAAAGCATATTCGCTAATTTATAAAAAATTAAGCATTTTGGGGATTAACTATTTCTTCTTCTTCTTTGCAAGACGCGTCTATTTTTTTGTAGTTTTATTTCTGGAAGTTCAATATTAAATGATCAAGCTGATCGATAATTATAAATAAAGCAGCACAATATTATATTACAAAACAGCATGAACAAGATTAAATTAGTTTAATAATTAGTATAAAACAAAGTTAAAATTAATCAAAAGGCCGCGGCTAAGTTTACTTTGGTGAAATAGAACGACTCTTTATCACGTCATTTCATTTGTTGAACACACATTCACTTGATTTTCTCATGAGACACAAAACAAAAAGTATAGAAATTTAAATCGATTTTGTTAATTATCCTCTAGGGTAACATGATTGTATTGGTATCTGTTTGTATTTGCAGATTTGTGAGTCTGGAAAATGCACGGGAGACGGCATATAGCATTTCGCATCAGGAAATGCTCGTTTGTTTGTTTGATAAGCAAAGAAATGATGCCCTTTCACCTTCATTGAAGCAGGGTTATAGGAACAAAATGCTCAGTTTAATTTAATCCATTTATAATGCTCAAACTGTCAAGGGTTGCTCTATCCTTTATTCTTCCAATGCATCGGGATTAAATGTTATATTTGTAGGTTTTCTAATTGTACTAAGAATGTCTGAAACCGCTGACAGTTTAATAGAAGTGTTAAGGGAACAGTGTCTTATACAGGGACAAAATGGAATAAAGGGACTGAGCGTTGTATTCCGGGCAATGGACATTGACTACTCCAAAAGAATTGTGTACGAGGAGCTGAAAATTGCGCTTGAAAAATTTGGACTTCTTATGTCTGAAAATTATTTACGAACATTGTTCAACGCTTTAGATTTAAATGACAGCGGAGGAATAGATTTTTGTGAGTTTATGCATAAACTTCGCCCATCATTAAAGCAGTGCCGAATTGATGTTATCAATGAAGCTTTCGAAAAACTTGACGTGAACAAAGATGAAGCTATCATGATAGATGATCTTCAAGGTAAACAAGTCTTTTTTTGTCCTCCACATATAAGTATTTTTTTTGCAATTAGTTCACTTAAAGTAACTTTTTTTATTGTGTATGGCAGTCAAAATACTATTTTTTTACTTTTATGACAAATAATTTCAGATGCAATGCCATTTTCTTCCATTAAAAAAACATTTAACATGTTCTTAAACTATTATTTAAACGTTATAAAAATCATGTTTGCCCTTTGCACAAAGGAAAAAAATAGTCATTTCTGAGGCATCCGTATTTAAATCATTTTATTTTTTATGGCCGATATGTATGGCTCATACTGTGAATTCTTTGGTAAACGATAAATGCCTCTATTTGATATATAAGTAACCCGAGGTTTTAACATATGAGCCGCGTCATGACAAAACCAACATAATGGGTTTGCGACCAGCATGGATCCAGACCAGCCTGCGCATCCGCGCAGTCTGATCAGGATCCATGCTGTTCGCTTACCAGCCCTATTACAAGTAGAGAAACTGATAGCGAACAGCATGGATCCTGATCAGACTGCGCAGATGCGCAAGCTGGTATGGATCCATGCTGGTCGCAAACGCATTATGTTGGTTTTGTCATGGCGCGGCTCATATAAATATAATAATTTGTTTATAAAAAACACATTGTCCAAATTGATCAATTTTGTTAACTTTTTGTAGAGATGAGCAGGTTTATTTTATTCAAAAAGTGTATGCTTTACATCAGTTTGTTTCTATAGGAACATAGGTTGTTGACTGACGTCATATGATATGAACACGTGGGACCGCGTTGATCAAGTTATACAAATTGGAACAGAAATCATAGATGATAAGTCTGTTATAGGAAACATAAAAGGATTAATGATAAGTTAAAGTACACTAGAATCCCTGGGAAGCATATTTCGTGTTCATAAATTGAATTTCTTTTTTCTATTTCAGTACAAACCAAACAATTTTAATGTTTTTCGTGTACTGTATTCGGACAATGTGATTTTGTTTAATCTGTTTTAAGTAATTCCAATATCGACCTGTGTTTGCCTCCTTTTATAATATTATATAGAAACATATTCTTACGAAAATGGTTAAAACTTATTTGAAACTTGAAAAAACGCCACAATATTTGCATTCTGAGTAACATGAATTCTTGTACTTTAGTTATATACTCGACCAACGCAAAGCAGCACCCAAAGTTTATTTCTGGTGAATGGACAGAAGAGCAAGTGCTTCGGAACTTCTTGGACAGTATCGATACACCTGGTAATCCGGATGGGAAGGTGACACGTGAAGAGTTCATGAACTATTACGCCGGGGTCAGTGTAACAGTGGATGATGACAGTTACTTCGATCTTATGATGAGAGCGTGTTATGGTCTACCAATACGAGGAAGTTAATAATCTTTTATGATTGCCTTTGCACGTAAATAAAAAATGCAGATGCTTTCACCGGCATACAGTTTTCATGCAAATGACTCCCGATATATCAAACTTGTAATTAATTTAACGTTTCGACAAAACATATACTGTATTAACTTTAATTGCATTATCGTATAAATTTGCACAGTTGGAACTTAGATGTGTCACGGTTTAGAACAGTGCTATGTTTACTGGGGAAGATGTGTAAGCTTCCGGATAGCTCAGTCGGTTGACCTGCGGAACGGTATTCCTTGGTGCCCAACGGGGGAACATGCCTGATTATAGCTCAGGGTTTAATTCACTTTGCTCTGGACATTTGTTTCGTCCCGTGACAGATGCACTGTACATTGTACTTAAATCTCAAAGACTCATCATCGATTAATTTCAAAACATATGACTGATTATAAACGCACTCCAAACTTTAGTCATTGTTATGGAAGCAAATACGAGGGCCATCATATCAACATGTGTACTGATGAATTTTCAGTTCCTTAAACTTTTGCACCCTTAGATCTATTTAGTCATTGTCAATAAGTAGATCTTTTCTTTTTCACACGACATCGCTTGTTTTCAGTGGGATATAGTACGTCTACTTTTTATTTCATACACATTTAAATAAAAAAAACGAACAATATCCCGAGTTAAAAGTTTTTCGACATTTTCTTGCTTTTTTGTAGTATCATATGACAAATAGAATATTTCATTTATTATAGACTTACAATAAACTTGTCCAAGACATATGTTAAAGAGCTTTACAAGTGACCTCGGTTATTATTTTATATGATTTGGCAACCAACGCATGTATGATCGTATTTTTAATACAAAGTGTATAACCTTTATCAGTTGCCTTGCAATATTTCCTGATCTGAATTCAACTTAGCAGCAATATAATCACCATGGCAAAATACTTAAATTATTATTATAAACAGAAAAGAACTTGTCATATTATATGAATTTCTTTGATTTTCTTTGCTAGCAAGGGCAATCTTTAATAACATTCAGCGGGAAAGCAATTTACCTGATGTCATATGGTTAAATAATGTTATATAAAATGCCAACGCTCCTATATAACACCTGTGTTTATATGGTTATATGGTTTATATTTTCGCTCGAGAGATTTGTCATTGCAATTCAGGAAGATACCAGTTAGATGCCTATTTGAAATAAAACATCATCAAATCATGACGTCATAAAGGAGACAATTAAACATTATGTGTCAGAAAATAGTATAAGAAAGGTAAAAAAAATATATAAAAATACATGTATGTTATTACATTTTTTTTATCCTACCATCAGATACCAGCTGTTACATCAATTCCACCCTTTGCTTCACTACATATGAATTAGAAAATAAGATTGTGTAAAGAACGTCCAAAACGGCAAAATTGAAAATGTTGCTAGCTCAGTTTAATTAACATGTCCATGAACGGCACTTTAAAGTGCTACTGTCCACGCCCCCTAGCACCGGCTTAAGTAGATTTTTTTTGTTCAACGTTAAACATGAAATGCAAAATTTTGAATTTGGAAACATCCTCAAAAGGCATATTTTATATCTATACAGTATATGTGTAATATTCTGTAATGAAAAATATGAGTCTTATTAAGAGTCGTTTTGTTTTGCGATGTACATCTGCCAGAAACTTTTTTTCTTCCAACCTAAGTGAATATAAAAGGTAATTACATTAAAGATGTCAATAATCCATTTCAATTAAACAATGAACGTCTTGAGTAGACGTAAATTATTTAAAGAATCGCCCTAATTGTTGCAATTTAATTTAAAAATATTTTTGTTCAATTATGTAGGAAGCGATTATCATATAGACAAGCTCTCGAATCTGTTCCTGGAACCAATCAGTATTAAGCAATGAGTGTTTAGTTTCTTGTAGAGGGGAACAATGACTTCTCCTGATAGGGTTTAAGCCCACGCGGCCGGCAATCCAGACACAATATGACTCATTTAACTAACTATTGTTTAATTCCTAATCAATTAAATGTATTCCGGGTAAAGAAACAAACGTTCTAGTGTTTTTATTTGTTAGCCTTTTATGACTTTATTTATTGTTGAAGAATTTCTTTTTGTTGGGTTTTATCTCGCACCAGCTCAGTAGAGGACATATGGCGACTTTCCAGCTTTACTGGTGGAGGAAGACCCCAGGTTCCCCTTGCGTGCGTTATTTAAGGCACGAACGGGCACATGAGTAGAGATACCGATATGAGTAAACTAGGAAGTGACATAGCCAGAAAAAAACGCACATATATATGCTGTCGGTTAAATTGTTTTACAGATTTTCTATAACTATTGCAGAAACTCTTATTTGTATTGTCTCTAACGAATATATCTCCGAATCAAGAACAGCTAGAATATTTATAAGGAGACTTTCTTAAACATGTAATTTTCCTTAGCTTTATATCAATATTCATGCAAAATCACAAGAATTATCTTTGAATATTTTCAGGAAAATTCACGCGAACCATGTAATTTCAGAAAATTTACGAGACTGTTTGTATTGAAGTAAGATATTTCTGACAGTTTTATCTCTTGATCTGAAAGAAGTTGATGTACAGATGTGTTCAAGTGTTTTTAATGCAAACATGTAATTTGAATGGAAAAGGTAATACATAAGTTTGTTCTTGTTAGTCCAAAGAGCTCAAGAGCTAGAGCAACTTTATGATACACATATTACAAACTTACCATAGTGGAAAACACTCACTCACTCACTCACTCACTCACTCACTCACTCACTCACTCACTCACTCACTCACTCACTCACTCACTCACTCACTCACTCACTCACTCACTCACTCACTCACTCACTCACTCACTCACTCACTCACTCACTCACTCACTCACTCACTCACTCACTCACTCACTCACTCACTCACTCACTCACTCACTCACTCACTCACTCACTCACTCACCAACTCATTCACTCACTCACTTTATTGTACAGATAACACTTGTAATGATATTTCTTGAAGAACATGGTAAGGAATATACAATATCTACATCGCTACAGATATGTCATCAAAGTTATTCAGCTGACACTGATCTAGTTATAAATTCATGGAAATTTCTATATTGGGACCTATTCCGGTCGAAATTCAATTTTCATTATAAGGTTATAAATATTTATTAAAGATTTATAGATATTTTTCTCGCAACCGTTCAAATGTATATATTTTATATTTATAGGCAGAGACAGAGACTGAATTGAAAATATGAGCCGCGTCACGACAAAACCAACATAATGGGGACCAGCATGGATCCAGACCAGCCTGCGCATCCGGGCAGTCTGATCAGGATCCATGCTGTTCGCTTACCAACCCTATTACAAGTAGATAAACTAATACCGAACAGCATGGATCCTTATCAGACTCCGCGGATGCGAAGGCTGCTCTAGATCCATGCTGGTCGCAAACTATTATGTTGGTTTTGTCGTGACGCGGCTCATAGTATTGTACATGTAACACAATGCTTGCTTGTTTAGAGACATTGATTTATTTTAATATCAGTTTATGTTTTAAAGAACATATATAATATTAATGATGTGCATCTGTCTGAAAAATATATAATGAATACATGTGACAACAGTATATATATGTGACTACTGTATAAATAAAGTTATATTATGCCAATATAAACGTAAATGGTTTGTATACCGATAAAGTAATCAAAGCGCTGAAAGCACTGATGTATTCGCTGCGCATTATAAATGCATATGTGTCTTACTAAAAACGTTGCAATTGAAACGAATAAAGGAATATGGGCCACTGAATAACAGATTATTAATCTGATAGCAGGGGCGTAACTAGGCGTACTCCTGGACGCCCGTGCGTACAAATCAATCCTGTATTCCAAAAAATCACATGCGCTAATAGTTCTAAAAAAGTGATAAAAACAGAGGGGGTAGTGTGGTCGGGGCACATATATTCATATGGGCCTACTGACTCTTTCGACGTAATCATTATATAAAATATTCATATCATATACAGTATTAATATCTTTTAAAATGATCTATATTGCGATATCTTATATAAGGTGCCTGGTTCAGCATCGATTCTTGGCCATGATATTCCCCGAGCAATGGCGGCATATGTTTTGCGCACCGTGCTTCCTATTCGACGAGCAGCTCGCTTGCAGTAGGCCTATTTTCCCCCAAAAACCTTTTTTTCCCGTATTGGCCCTTTTGTGTCCTCTTTTGTTTTTGGTTGGGTGCCTTCTTGCTACCCTGCTGGTGTGGCTGGATTGTGTAGGGGGCTGCGTTCTGCCAAAGTCGCCTTGTATGTTTGATTTTTCTTCTCATCACACGTAACAAATTGGTGTAATTTCTCAAAGATGGTTGAAAGACATACAAAGTTCTCATGACATATTAATCATTTGATTGCTGCATAGAATTACTTGGCAGTACCGAAAAGGCAGAAAAAGACAGTGTACAATTCCATCTCAATTGTATGCATTTATTAAAAAGAATCGCCAGAATCTTGTATAAGTTGATGATATAATTATTCTTTGTGGTCAGCAAAACATTGCGACGAGTTATCGAGCAAGTTCCATTATCAAAGTCGTATATCTGTTAATGAGTTTACTTCATAACAAAAGATCTTAAATGAATCCTTTTATGTATTCAAGTGAGTTCAATATTTAACTCCACATAATCTATGTTATACGCAACGATTTTTAATTAATTTACGGAGATTTTAAAATAGCTTTGCGTATTTTTCCGCGGTATTTTTGATATAATAACATGTAATGAAAAATTAAACAAGCCAAAACATTCACTGAACTTAGTCACAATTTTCACACTATAATCGTTCTTAATATATTGTTACAACAGTTGCTACTTATGAAGGTGCAGAATGACGGTCTTTCCTGAGAGAGCATTGGGGCATTGTACCTCGCATTTAAAACGCAAGCTTAAAAATGTGAATAAACCCATCTTTGTCCGAGAGTCTCAGTGTTAGCTGGGGCTTATGTGGTGGACTGACGTAAACTTGAAAGTAACTTGCCGTCCAGCGGTCCCGGTTTTTCTGAAGGAAGCAAGGCTCTGTACCCAAACGTGAGGCATTTTTTGACAATTTTAGTGGTCATGCCAGTGGCAACGGCAACAACTGAAGTAAAACGTCAGAAGTACGTTCTATGGAGACTGAGTGTAAGTCTAGTCTATGTCTCATAAATGTTTATAGAGTAGTAAATGCCGAGTAGACAAGTTTGCATACCAACGAAACAGACGTCTAGTGTTTTGTTTTGTTTCTTGTTTTTTTAGTTTAAAATTTACTGAATACGGGAGATTTGTTGCTATAACATCCGTTTGAAGGTTGCAAAATAACAAATTTGTGCTGCAAAAAAATCAATTATAAATATAAGAAAAGTTTAATGGTATATGTACCGTACTTGTTCATTTTAAATATTTTAAAATTGATAAAAAGAGTTTGAAATCATCACCAATATGTTGTCAATATAGCCTCTAGATAGTCACGAAATGCCAGGATATCGTTTCCTGTTTCAAAAATTTTCTCGGGGGAGTTGAAGGAGGGAAATAAATAGAATAAACTAAATGAGAACAACTTTATTACATTATCTAAGTGGTACAATAAAATATACATCCAAAATATGAATACATGCAGTACATTCATGACTAGATCCTTAACATGATGAGAGAATTATGTTATAATGAATATATATACAGTAACAATACCTAGAATACTATATTGCTACATAAGCTTCAAATGTAATGACAGACAGATTACCTAGCTAAAGCATTTCAGTTTTGATGAAAAGTGAAACTTGGAACATGT